AGTAATCTAGTCGAAATGGGACCTTATGTACACCTATATTATTACGTTTTTGTTTGATTTTACTTCTCAGCTTCATATATAGCTTAACGTATGGGTAGAGTACCCCCCCCCCAGCACTGTACAAAGATGCTTTTCTGAACTATTGTCACCAATCTATTCTCTGTCTGTATGCGGTTTGCCTTTTCTATCGTCCAGGATCCCACCGGGGACGTGTTATTTGATTTGGATTTGGCGGTAGCCAACTTGACAGCCAACTGTGAACCTCCTCTCATGGAACCGATCCAGCCCGCGACAGTAACCCTACAGAGCGCCTCTCGATCTCCAACTCCAGCAGCTTCAGAGCCTCTCCATCGTTTCTGCTACAGCATTGAGCTGAAGACCCTTCAGGCCATTAATCCGCTACCGGAGAACTCCCTAGTCTACGCTAGGTGAGCTTGAAACGACCTGTGTAAATCTGCGCATACTGTTCGCTACACTGTGCTATTTCTTTCAGTTGCCATCCCCGGAATCATAATTTTACTTGTCTGAGCTTTCGGACTCTTTCTAGAGTCCATCATCAGAGATAAAAGGCGTAAAAGAAAGACAAGTAGCAGTTATAGGACGCAGGGGCCAATCAACCGTTATGGAAAGGAAGGGGGAGCGGTAGGGGGAACAGTCAGTGGTGGTTGACTGTCCCTCCCCCTTCCCCCCTCCATAACGGTTAATTGGCCCCTGCGTTCTATAGCTGTTGCTTGTCTTTGGTTTACGCCTTTTATGTCTGATGATGGACTCTAGAAAGAACCCGAAAGCTCAGACAAGTAAAAAGAATGATTCCGGTGATCGCATCGCCTTCTACTTCTCTATCTACACACATACCTGGGATGCGAACATTTGCCTCATTTCTTTTAGTGGTGAGTTCTTTACTAGAGTCACCTAGCCAGTTTTTCTCTCTGTTTAGGTACGTCTATCCTCTGTTTGGCAGTCGAAGCCCAATAATGACATTGCCCCCGGTGGCTCTGACTGGAACTGACGAGACAGTGCTTCCGCAGGGCTTCTGCGCATTTGAACTTGCAGCCGAACCTGCTGAGGTTGTTTCCTTCGCCTTGCACT